CTCTCTCTCTCTCTCTCTCTCTCTCTTCTTCTTCTTCTCTCTCCTTCATCCTCGCTCCCCTCACTACCTCCCTCCACCTATTCTCTCTACCCTCCACCTGTCCCCTCTACCACCCTCCCCCCCTCCCATACGCTTCCACCGCTCCATCTCTCACAAAGACACCGCCTCGCAGCAAAATTGCCTCCACTTACGATAATCTGCCCCGACACAATACCCCCGCTACCTCTGCCGCTACCGCTACCGCTCTGACGCCACCGCGATGGGACGCTGTCGCCCCAAATTTTTATCTCGATTCAACGACAAAAAAACAAATTCAATGAATCTATTAATAGGTCTGCTTCGCTGTCATTTCGATGACGAAGCGAAAAATCAAATTTGAAATTTTTTTCTTTAGAATTTCGTCGTCCCCTCCCGCGCGCGCGCGATTTTCGACCAATCGCGTCGCGTCGCACTCACCGGCTGCGTAGTTGATGACGAGCACTTTGTTGTGGTCGTCGGTGGGCACGCGTTCGGCGCTGTTGATGCACGACCCCTCCAGGGGGCAGTACACGCTGTCGTTGTGCGGGCCCGTGTCAACACTGTGTAGCACGGATAGATCCTCGTCCAGCTGGTACAGCTTGTTAACGCCACCTAGCGGCAAGAAACAAAAACGATGATCGCATGGTTACGACGAGTGCCACCAGGGCGGCGCCAGCGACTCGCGCTGACGATGCGGCGTCGCTGGGAATTCTGCTATTAATTGAGGTCACCACCACTAGAGGGCGTGGGTGTGTAACACGAGTGTTGTCGGTAGGGGGCGCTTAATCAACAAACAATGCCAATAGGGGGCGCTCACGAATTGTGGCTGTTATAAAAAAACTGGTGTCACTCTAATACTTAACAGAGGACAAGTCAACAATAGATGACGCTTAACGGAATACTGCGCCACCAGGGTGCGCTTAACAGAAGACTTCTGTCACCAGAGGGTGCTTAATGCAAAACATAGCAACACTACACTATTGGGTGGTTAACAGAAGACAGACCGACGCTAGGGGGCGCTCATCGTAATGCTGGGCAGACACTAGGGGGCGCTCATCGTAATGCTGGACAGACACTAGGGGGCGCTCATCGTAATACCGGCAGACACTAGGGGGCGCTCATCGTAATGCTGGACAGACAC